ATACGCTGAACCGGTTCTTCAGTCTACATATACAGCATACATTCAGTATTAAATATGAGATTTCATTGACAAATGCATGCCGATTCAGTGCGCTCGGTTGGATCGCTTTCCGATTAATAGCGTAATTAATAGTGCATCGCTATATTGTCAAATCAGTTATGTAAACAATTCATATCACTACCAAGTGTCGTTCCTTTTTGGATAAAAATCATTCATTGCCGAGTTGCATAATTATAATCACGACTGGCCATAAAGCACAGAAAATCATTGAAATACTTATCGCATTTTAAAGTCTATTTCACAATGGAGGTACACAATATTTCAACACATAAAGATATTCAAGTCGAAGGTTATCAGTGAAAATAAAAATAAAATCACATATTATGTTCTGATTCGAATGGGCATTTTATACGACATATTAAAAAAAAATAAATTATAACTGGAACGTTGAAAAACATGATTCCTTTGAGTTCACTTTCTTGAAATAAATACTCTCACTCGTGAATCGCGATCTAGTCGATTCCGATTGAGTCGTTCTTGCAAAAAGGAAAGCTTCAACTACACACTTAATTGATATGACCGATATGAAACCGGCTTAAACGTACGGTTGCTTAATTGCACAAATATTCGTCGGAGTTAGAGTGGTACTTGGAATGAAGTATAACAGTCGGTTAGAAACTTACTTTATCGCAGTCTTCTCGAGAACGACGCGGTTCTATTTCTCCTTCCGCTTTAACTGCGGATGGCAGCACATTGCTGTCCAGGAGGGGAGATCCGTTATATTATTAAATTTACGAAAGACTTTGCTACGTCCAATGAAATTACTGAATTTGATTATTCGTTATGTAATATCTCTTCTACGCTAGCGTACATTTATAATGTAATTGTGAATCTACTGTATATAACTGTGCTATTTATATAGTTTCATGATAATTTCGGATTTTATTAGATTAATAGCGAATTTGATGCACCAGTGCACACTAAAGCCATTGTACACTAGTTTAATCAGTTTAAAAATAAAATGCAGATATTTCGAATTATAAAATATAAATTTTACTTAACAATACAATAAAGTGTACTGGGAATTTTATGATTTAATCTGTGCGAGAGCGAATCAGAGCGAGAGAACTGACGTAAAGTTTTAGAGTGATGCAGCGTTTGTCTAACAATCTTTCTCGCTAGTTCAAATCCGGCTCGAAGGACCAGAAAATGTGCGAGAGCGCACCGCGCGGAAAGATTCGAGTGAGAAAACGGCACAAGGTTGATATGATGCACGACAGTAAAGAGAACTCCGTTTCTTTGTAATTTAACAAAAGAATTTTCTTTAATATGCTCAGTTACAAAGTCAAAAAATATAATTAATTAAATATTAGATTAACAGAATATTAAATGCGGTCACCTTTTCCAAATGATATTTTGGAATCGCGGTAATGGAAAATCTCGGCGATTTTCTCGGCACTTCTCGAAAGATTCGTTTTATAGCGGTTTCATTAAGCGGTTAGCACGGCGATTTTACGAAGCGAGATTATGACTCTAAGAACTCTAAGAACTTTTAGACTCTAAGAACTAAGGACTCTAAGAAGGAGGACGGCGAGATCGAAGCATTTATTGCTTTCGGCCTGGGCTTTCTTCTTGGGAAAAAATCCAATAAAATTTTGCCACAATCGTAATTATTACGTGGCATTAGGTGTACAAAATTGATTGGCGCTTTGGATTTTTTTCTAACGACGTTCAACGTAACAGTCATGCGCGACAGAAAATCCGTGCGTGGGATTGGTGACAGCGCGTGACGTATTCGTCGGAGCGCGGCGCTCGCGTGCGCGAATTGAATTGTTCTAGAACTTTCGATTGTCCATTACCAGTGCCTGTTTGCGTGTAACGAATTGTTTTTTAAAAAGAGCAAAGAACGCCAAATCGATGATTTTAACGAGGATTAAGATCATGCTCGAGATGAAATCACGAGCTCAATTTATGCATGCGTTCAATGACAATTACTGTCGGTCGACTGAAAGAATTCTTGCTTTTCTTTCGAATTACCGATCTCAAACATAATCCGTTTTTATATTTAAATCAAACACAGATTTTTACGTCAATTTATGTATGATGGCTTTAATATAACTGTGCATTCACTGAGTGCATTCAATTCTCTATAACTTTATAGAGATAAGCATGCAAAGAGTGTGATTAGCACTACACTGGTAATTACACTGAGAACAAATGCTGTTGATTTAATTAAAGTCTATATTACGGCTTGTCACTGACATAAATAATTAATTCATGTATATTTTTATTGACATAAAGACATAAATTATTTTTTCAATAATCAAGGCCTTTATGTCAATAAAAATATACATGAATTAATTACTTATGTTAGTGACAGCCCGTAACATAAATTTTAATTGAATCAACAACATTTTTCTCTCAGTGTAGAAATCTACATTATAAAAGAAAAATTTTTGACGTTTGTGTCTATTATATGCAATCATACACAAAAATGCTAAAAATTTTTCTCTCTCAATCGCGCGTTCTGAATTCTTTATCCCGTGACAACGAGCGCCAAGTTTTTTCTCCTGTATAAAAATTAAGTGTAAAAATTACCCGATCCTCGTATCGGTTTTTATCTTCGTTTCGAACATCAGCACCATACTCAATTTCTTACGCCGTTCTTATTACTCCACTCCAATCATCTACATTTTCGCGAAACAAAACATGACGTTTTCCGCGGAGTTGTTGGCGCAACGGAGAAATTCTGTCCGCTCGGATTCCATAAATCGTGGCCGAATATCGTTCTGGCTCGCCTTTTTCCCGCGAGGACGTCGCGGTGATAAATCATCACGGCTTGCCACCTCGATCGCGTCGTTTCGCGCCACTCCGTAGAAAATGCGCACGGCGAGAGAGCTCTCGATTTCTTTCTCGGTGTCCTGATGTCCTCTTCTCCACAGCGGGGATGATGCGTCGCACGACGCCTCCGGGGACCGAAGGACGAGCAACGACGAGGGTGCAACGCCTGCGCGACGTCGTCGGCGTGCGTTCACGGGGGTGCCGACGATGAATGAGCTACCGGCGCTCCTCAGTGCCGCGCGAAACAGCGAAACTCATCGTCGCGACGCTATTCCGTACGCAAATAAAATATAACAACACACACTATTGTATCGAGAGAACATTGTGAACTTTCGGAACTGGGATCCTACTCGATTCAATCATAATGATATTTCGATCGATGAGCGCAAAGTTTGAAATTATTTTATGCCGTCGATAAAATAATCTCTGAGGTCATTAAAAAATATATCAGCTTGATTTGCAACAGAGGTATAAATTGCATTCGTCATTTGTCAGTTTGTTACATATTCACGGTCTGATTTTTTTATTTTGCGAGTATCATTTCAGCTATCAATCTTCTCTGAGATAAAAAATTTGACTGGTTTAATAAATCAAATATAAATTATATTTGTTGTTTCTCGCACTGGATTGCTAATTTGTCGACATTATTTCATTAAAACTGATGAAATCATACTAATTATAAAATTAAATATACGAAAACCTAAGAATTGTATTTGAAACCCATTTCATCAATTATTTGATCACATTTTTGTTTAATATGCAAGTTTCGATATCATTTTTTATTCAATACAGATGATTCATTAATTCTCTCTAAAATGTTCTTCCATTTTCCAGCTATTTTTAAATTATTAATCTCGTATCATAATTTTATTTGTCGCTTTTACATCGAAAAATAAATATACATAAGTATTTATAGCACTTATCAATGAGATATGTTTATTACAATTGTTACAAACCGATAAATGTAACATTTGTTACATTTTTTAATTGAGAAATTTAAAAATCATTAATCGCATTAAAATATTCCTTCAAGATTGAGAAAATCATTTGTATTTTAATTTATAATGCTTATCTAATCACATAGACAATTTTAATTAATTTATAAATAAAAGACTTATGAAGATTACGAGATTTTTTGCATAATTATTATTTTTACATCTAATATTTATTCGAAGATTCACAAGTCGCTATTTTATGACTCCACTTTTACTAAAACTTACAGTAAATCTTTTCTACATCACTAAAAATTAAAGTAAAAGTTTTGACATTAAAATAAAAGTTTTAATGCGTAACAAAATTCAATAATTCATGAGTAATAAAAGCTTGAGGCAAAAATGTATCTAATATTGATTTTAATATTAATAATGTTCTTCGAGACACAAGAAAGTTGAGTAAGATAATAGCAGAAAGTGATAAAGAAATATTGTCATCGTATTTCCAAGAGATTTAAGTTACAAAAAATGTTATGTGACGTAGGTGCCAAATCATTGAATTTATAAACAGTATAAATTTGATGGAAGACGTTACTTAAGTTCCGTTTTTCTGAATCGTTGTGCTACGATCCGCTACGGATTTACAGTGACTGCCGACAGCATCGATGCAAAGCGCGCAAAAGAAACGCTTAAGGAATGTTTACGTTCGAGAAAATAATCACGTTCGAAGGACAATGTGCGGAACGTAATAATGGACGTACGACATAATTTTGTTTTACGTCGTTAATCATTCCCGTGTGTCGCCGACAAGAAAACTGAGTGAATCAAGACATTTCTTGCGTGCGATTACGAAGTAAGGAAGAAGAAGAATAGAATCAAATAAAGTAATCAACGAATATTGCAAAGGTTTTGTCGTAATGATGACACAATATAGATCGTTGTCCGACAACAAATACAGTAACGACCGGCGTGATTACGAGAATAAATTTGCACGCGGCGGACAATTAGATCAGTCATTATCGCAGTGCCCGTTAATGCAACATGCGCCAATGTTCCTATACACTCAACGAACCACGACACGCTAATAAGACAGTCGAAGAGAAACGAGGAGATTTTAATCTTAGCGAGTGGCGTGCTCGCCTTACTTCACCTGCCGTGCTATTTGTCGACGGAGGAAATTCATTAAGGCGACTTCGTCCATCATTATTCCATGCGTCGCCGCGACAAAGCGCATCGGTGACGAATTAGTGGGACGGTGGTGCAAAACGTGCAAAAGGAAAGTGGTAAATTATCGTGTCGTGCCACGTCTCTCGTCTGCATCCAATGCGATCTCGAAATTCCTTCGTCATGAGCATCCTAATGTACATTGTTCAAAACGAGTATAAGGGATCGCCAGGGGAGACCGCGAAGCAAAACGCTGTAATGGCACGTACGCAAATCGATTTTGTCGACCAGGACACGACGAGGTGAGCCAGATTTCTAAACTCGTAACTGGAATTAATATTGTCAGATTAATTACGACTGATTTATTTTCACATCTATATCTCTTGTTATTTGAGGTATTAATTAATTTGGTTCGCTCGTTCTTCTTCCTCCTCATATAATGCAAGGATTTCTGTATTTACATCTCATATGTATTATTCAATATTTATACTAAACATTTATACTAAACTTCAATTATTAATTCTCTCTGTTAAACTATTTATTTTACATTATTTATCTTACAAAAAAAATAATAAATTGAGAATTTCTAATCTTTTAATCCGAGAAATATATCTTTTTAGAGAGTAATAGACTATGTGTTCGGCAACTGCGTCATATATTTTAATTTTTAATTTTAAATATATATTAAAGTCTTAAATGCGCCCGCGTGCAATCCGTGTTTTCTCTTTTATTATACATTATTTCTAAACAAAAGCGTATGGCATTTAACTAGTATTAAGACTTCTATTGCATCACTGTATATTAAATTATGACTTTAAACAAGAGAGATAATAGACGCCTTAAAAGTAACATTTAATATTCGCGTACGTGAAAGCTTCAACTTTACTACAAGTTTCAGAATAGAGAATATTAGTTTTACTTCTATACTTGTCACATGTTTGAAAAAAATTATTACAAAATTAATGTGTTGTGAAAATCCAAGAAAATAACATGTTGATGTTTTTAATGATGTTTTATTGACATTATTTTAAGACATCATTTCACGTCGCCTTGCTATTAGGGAAGTTACAAAAGTTATAAGAAGATAAAAGGCTAAAGATGATACAGAACGTCGGAACAAATATAACGCTACGAAAAAACTACTTCAAACTTTAAGCAACTATAACTTCGTTAAAAATAAACGAAATTTAAATTTAAAAAAGGATTTCAAAGTTTAAAATTTCTATTTTCAAAAAATCATTATGTTGTTTTTGTTTCTATAAGTTTGATTATTTGTACTTATAAAAACCTATGAACTAGACAAAATGAGAAATTCTTTTCATTTTGTGGCCTGTTCACGTACTAAAAAAAAATTTATAATTAACTTATATTATAAAAATTTACGATTTTGTAATGTGAAAACTTAAAATTTTCATTACAAAATTATTTCTTAAAAATGTTCCTAAGATTTTTTGTTACTGACTGCGGATTAAATAAAAGAATCATTTTAATTTTGTTGGCTTATAACTCCATTAAAATTGTCGCACCGGAATTCGACAAATAAATTAAGCTGAAACGTTGCCGTATTGAATTGACCATTTTTTTTAAAAAAAAACGTAAAAACATGATACAAATGAAGTAATGTTACGAACTTTTATTCCGAATTATAGGTAATAAAAAGTACAATTTATGGATACAATATTCTATAAAGATGATTTTTCGTCCTTTTTAGCTTCGTGTATTTCTGAGAATAAAGTTATAAAAATATTATTAAATATATTTATTTGTCGAAAGCAACGTTATTTTATAGAAAACAGATATTTCTAGTTTCGATATAGCGCCGCGCAATATCGTAATATTTTCTACTGATATTTTTTATATCAAATTTTTTTCTATAATTTGTTAAAACTTATTGAATTAAAATTTCGCAAATATTTACATTGCACAATTTCATGTATGCAAATCTTTATAATCAATTGCATATACTTTGTCATAAATAATTATAAATAAAATAACTATGAGAAATTATATTAAATAAAATAACACTAAATTAATAAGTTTATCTTAGACTCCTTTAATTGAACAAATTTAGAAATATTTAACATATAGTACAGGCGATAGCAGGAAAATTTTAAAACATTAACTGACAGGACACAAATAGTTCTCTCAGTTAATATTTTAAAATTTTGATAATTTTTAATTTATTAACAATGTATAAAATGTTACGATATATTTATTGTTTAATGTTGAAACGTGAGCTTGAGTTCTCATTGCTCAGCTTTCAAACTTTGTGAGTATGTGACTTACCTCACTAAAGATTGCTGATAAAAACTCAAATCATGAGTAGAAACGTCCAAAGTTAAGGTTTATATATTTAATATTAAGAATTGCGCTAATTGATAACCAGCGTTGATTCCTATCGCCTGTACTACACATGTTATATATTTCTAAATTTGTAAAATAAGTATAAAAAAGAAACAAGTGTTAACAAGTGCAGTGATTTCCTTTAACTTTTTCTGTACTTACACAATAAAAATGAACATGGATAATTTTATTATTTATCGCAATTTGAATCGTCCCTCAAAACAACAATATTTATATAAATAATATAATTATATATTATTAAAATATGAATAGTATAAAAACCTTTTGAATACATTAAATAATTAAAAGTAATAGTAATCACACATATGAGATTAATAATTCCTGGAGTTCAAAACTGAATATTTTAATTAACAAATATAAAAGCCTATTCATAATTATTCGTAAAAATCCCGGAATCTTTCATAGAATTATATATATCATTTATAACGAAATTCAAAACAAGTTATAATAAACGAGAGAATATTTTTATGTAGAATTTATGAGACTATAGGAATCATAATTTTCAGAATAGAATCAATCTTAAAATCCTAAAATTTCTACATTTATGCATTCTGTGGAAGATTAAGATATATAATTCGGAGACTCGGATAGGCAGTGCTTAAGCAGTCACATATATCTCACTTTAATTTTCCAATATCAAAATAATTAGCATTATATCTACTCTTCCACGATCATTACGATTTATCTGCATTTTAATTAATATATACGGAAAGAATTTTCTCTTAAAATTTATCCTAAAAATATAGTAGTTACGGGACAACTTTGTATTTTGAGGAATTTTATGTAAATCTCTCTTATTTACCAATAAAAAGAGATAATTATAGTTATATTTTCGTTTTTCTGATATTAACTCTGAAGAGATTGAAATCACAGACTATTATAAGACTTATATAAAAACTCTTATTATAATGTTAAAATCAGATTTTATAGAAATTTGGTGGTTAAATCAAAAATTGTGTTTTGAATTTTTCAAACTCCTTCCTTTGTTTCTATGTAAAAACAAAAATTATAATTATAATTTTAAGCAAAAATTGAAATAATAATTTAAAATAGATATTTGTACCTTAAAATTACATACAAAAGAATTTGTAAAATATTTGATATTATTAATTAATATTAATTAACAATTGATGTTTCAATAAATAAAACAAATATAAATATATTGTAATATAATAAGTTAATAGCAAATGTCATAAAAATAAAGATGTTGAGATAAAATAAATTTGAACGTAAAAAGTAGATAAATACAATATATGTTTTTAAAGGTTCGAAGAACATCATTTACAAATAAACACACCATATTTGTTTCAAGCAATTTCAGCTGTATACAAAATTACTTCGCGTAGAAAAGTTTTAAAACTAGTAGGTATAAAAAGTGATGAAAAGGTAAAAGTTGGAATACTATTGGTTAACCATATCTCGCAATTTGTTGGAATTAAATTCAGGTACTAAAAAAATGAATGACTCTTTATGTAGCAGTTAACATTGAATCAAATTAGCATGATGTGTAATTTTATAGCAATTTCAAATAATATTACAAATATCGAAGGTAATAACGAATTTTGACTTTCATTTGCAGTTAAATAAAAATAAAATGGTAATAAAAATTTTTAATTCAAATTACAACATAGTAAATTTTGTAATTTGTTCGTGTTAAATCTTTATTCTAGATTCTAGAATATATTTGCTTGTAAAGTTTTTCATTTATTATATTTTTTTTCATATGATTTTATTATCTAGATATCAAACGTATGTTTGATTCAATTTCATATAACGTATAAAAACACATTTTCGTATAAAATTTTTTTATGTCACAGAATATCAAGTAACACTGTGATAATGTCGTAGCTATAGCAGAGTTTATCAAATTGTCCTTCGTAAACTATAGATAACTCTGACATTTCAAATCGGACAGATCCATTAAAACATCAAACGTAATATCGCTATTATTTTTTTCCATGCACGCGAATGGGAATATCGTAATAATTTATTTTTCGAGAGAGATACGTGTCCTAGTCTTGCACATCATTAAATTATCAAAAGAAGGAATTATCTCACATCATTTTATAACTCTCAACAATAGAGTTAAATTAAAATTGATCTCGTTATCAAACTTTTACAGCGACTATTAGTGTTTCGTCGATAATGGCTAGTAATCGCATAGCTATTATTAATTACTTACTCTATTAAACTTGAATATAAGTTTAGTGAATAGATTTACTTAATACGTAATATGATTAGCGATACTTATAGATATAGGAATATTGATTCTTACTCCATTATTAACATTACAACATTAATAATATAATATAAAATCAATTTATAGTTGCATAAGTGAATAATATTATTTAATGTGATATATGTATAATATTCATTTTATAATAATTTACATTTGGTATCTTATGAAGATACTTTTATCTCAGAAAAAGATTCACAGATATAAACATCCAAGTGCATTCAAGGATTTAAAGGATTCACTACTAAAAATGTATGTACGTAAAAAGTAAATACTCAAGAATCTAAAGACCCTGGAGGATAAAATGGATTCGCCGAAGACCTAAGCATTTACTTGTCAGAAAAATTAAACGCTATTTATAAAGAAAAGTATCTTGGTCGTGAAAAAGTATTATGCCAACTAAAATGTAAATTGGGTACTTTAGTAACAGAAAGAAGTAACATTATTTATAACTAAATAACAGAAATTTATTAAGAGAAGCCAGATTCAACTGTCACTTTATGAAAAATGATTATTACTTATTACTCTATAGAACATATATTTTTAATATTTCTTTTTCCTTCAAATATCTGTTTTTTTTTATTTTTCTACAATTATGTTTAATTTAGAAGAAAATGTTAATATTTTATATCCCAAAAAAAACTTTAGTTAAACAGGAATTGAAAATTATTTTTGAGATTATTTCTGAGATTTCGTTACTGT